TATGATATCACAGACAATGGACAATAGTTTGTGTCATGGTTCCAGTGTGAAACTGAGGTGTACTGACAAGAGTGAAATTTGGCTTCTCTCAGAATTATAGTCAGAACTTAATAATAACTGACGGCTTTCAGTGAGTGACTTATTTAACTGTCTCGAAGACCTTTTTAGTTCACCTCCATAGCAAGGAGCAATTGATTACCAGGCCTATTATTGAAGAAATATTTCATTTTGAAACAGAAATCACGTGCTTCTTTTCATTACCTCTCTGGCCTGTCCACATAACTCCTTGGTCCTGGATGTCGCTCTCTGTCCTGCATCAAGCTTAGTGTTTCTGGTCTTCGTAATTCGTCAGTATCCCTGAAAATAAGCACAGATCAGAGGCTGGTTATTATAGTACAGAAATGACAAACAAATGCATCTGTTTTTTCTAATTATCAGCTGTTTATGAAGTAAATGACTAAATAGTTAACTTCCAGCAACATTCAAGACTAAATTTAATGATGACCAAAGCGAGAAAATTCAGATTTAAGGCTAGGCTAAAAATGGTTGTGAAAATAAATATCAAAGCATGCCTAGTAATATCGCTATTAAGAACAACAATTTAAAAAGGTGCTAAAAGTCAGAAATCCTCTTTTAATACTTATTTTCTGTCTTTTGAAGCGCAGTTAATACTCTGGAACGTGCACTAGTTAAAAAAAAATAATGAGGAACTTCATTATTCTCTCTCAAACACTTTTAGAACAAATCTATCAGTTTATGATCAAAAGATCATTTTCTAACAGAGTGTTGCAAACTCCACCTATGTCTTTTTTATCTCAAATGAGCTCCAGAAGCAGACCTCTACAAAGACCTTAGCTAATAATTTGTTTGCATGCAAGTGAGGGTGAACAGAACACAATGTGAAAAGAATCAATTAAATTAAATATTCAGATCTGTAACAAAAGAAGGAATATATAAAACAGATCTGAATATTTATTATGAATTGTTCTCTAGTTAAAACATAAGGCAAATACTTTTAAAACATGCACTTAAAGCAACAGATATGAAAGACATACTTCCAGAGGTACAAACCAAATTGAGTACACAAAATATACATTTGCACTGGCAAAACAGGTAACTGCACTCAAACAAGTATCCGCAAATGTTCCACAAGGATGTACTGTGTGTATATACTACTTAAGATGCCTACTTTTAAAATTAAGCTCTATATGTCAGAAGTCATACCTAATGCACTCATTTCTGTGTTGGCAGGAAGGACAGCACTGGTTCAAGTAAGCACCAAATCCCAAGCTACACATGCAGATACAAGGAGCACATAGCATTGCTGAGTCAGGAACTTTTACAGATTGCACACTTGCGTAAGCTGTATTTAACTCGGCACTCTTAAGATGAAATCAGAATTACGTCTAGCTTTACAAGGACTTTAATGGTTCCAATGTGCTTTGGAGAAGAAAAAAAAAAGTTGCTTGCCAAGACATTTACAGAAAATTGTTGTGGGAACAGTTTTTAGTTTATGTGGTTGGCACAAACAAAATATTCCAGTACTGTAAACTTCATTTTACAAAAAAAACTCCCAAACACTAATTTATTTTGCATGGTGATTTTTCCTTATTGGAAGCAACAACAATATGGTCTGATTTTTTTTTTTTTTTGGTATCTCCATTCCATTCCATTGCAGTACAGAAATCCATTCCATTGAGGCACAGAAAGAAATGTGCTGTAATTTAGTTAGAGGTTGGATTACATGCTGCTGCTTAAAGATCAATTGCTGTCCCTGCGTTAAACTTTGAAACAATCTGACCCGAAAGATATAATTTCCTTTATCATCACTGTAGACAGCCAAGATTTGTATATGTAAACAGAAGGTCTCTCCTGTCTCACTAAACTTGTCTTGCCCTAATTCTTTCAGCTGTGTCATGCAGTCCAATGTTTATGAAGTCTCTTAAGCTATTTCCATGTCAACCACAATTCAAAAGACGGGTATGGAGAGTCTTTCAGACCAAGGTATTCTCATCGTTTGTGGAGGGCATGGCAGGCTTCTCTATTATTTCAACATTTACTTGTGGCTACTACAGGCTAAGGAATGCTGACACATGCTGAAGCAGTTACCATTTATGATGTCAGTACAGCTACTGAACATACAAACCGCATGAATCAAAATTTCTTAGAGAACCCATTAAGAGTAGTTGCTTCTCATGTACATTAACAATTTTGAAAAATATATTTTTGTTCTTAGTTTCAATGTCTCAAAAACTACATGAAAAGATAGGTCCAATATAAGGGGCTTACCTATTCCATTTCAAAAATGTGCTTCTAGTCAGAGCATATAGAGTTAAGTGTCTAAAATCAGTGTGTGTCTTACTCTAGTATTCCTGTATATGGCCAAGACTGTTTTATTTTTTGACTTGCAGGGAAAATATAAACAGCTTTCTTGCTCAGTCCCTGCACATGCAGTTTTAGCCACAAGAAAAAACCATTCATGATCTATCAAACCTGGCAGAGCTTCTTTCATTTCAACTGCACTGAGGCACTCTAATATACTGAATTATCTCTCTCCTCCTTTTGCTTTTGTCTCTGGGCCTCCTTCCATTTGAACTCACTAAACCTAGAAAATTTTTCTCTTGCCTGCCCACCATATTACCAGCTAAATCTCAGTTTCACACGCACTTGTTCCACAACAAGTATAAACCGAACTATTTCAAAAGTGACTATCAAAAAAATTCCATGTAATCCTCAAGGAGGTTGGATCATCCAAACATATGATTTTATTGATATAATCCTTGCTTTCCTCCTTCTAATCTCCCTTTCGCAATGGCATTTGAGGTTTTATCTATACTAGCAAAGTGCACTTGTTTAATTAAAAAGAGAGCTAGCTAAATGAGTGCAAACTAATATAGATTCACTTAAAGCATCTGAATCCTTGCTTATATTGATTTAGCTTAAATTCAGGAATTATATAGATTCAAGTTTGCATTGCTGGTAGAACCTAGGGTTGGTTTCAAAGTATCATGTAAATCATACATTTTTCAGAGCAGGGCACCAGTCATACACATCCATAAAGCACTATGTCTGCCACTGGCACTATCATAAGACTGGCTATATAGGATCAGACCACAGTCCATCTAGCCCAGTATCGTGTTTTCCAACCGTGGCCAATGCCAGGTGGCCCAGAAGGAATTAACAGAATAGGTAAACATCAAGCGATCAATTCCCTGCTGCTCATTCCCAGCTTCTGGCAAACACAGGCTAGAGACAGCATAATAACTCATGGGACTATCCTGCATGAATTTATCTAGGATTTTTTTAACCCTGTTATAGTCTTGACCTTCACAACATCCTCTGGCAAGGAGTTCCACAGACTGACTGTGTGCTGTGTAAACAAATATTTCCTTTTGTTTTAAAACCTGCTGTCTATTAATTTCATTTGGTGACCCCCTATGAGAAAAGAGTAAATAACACTTCCTTATATACTTTCTCCACGTCAATCATGATTTTATAGACCTCAGTATATCCCCCCTTAATCATCTATTTTTAAAGCTGAAAAGTCCCAGTGTTTTATTAATCTCTCCTCATACAGAAGTTGTTCCATACACCTATTCATTTTTGTTGCCCCTTTCTGAACCTTTTCCAATGCCAATAAATCTTTTTTGAGATGTGGTGACCACACCTGCAGGCAGTATTCAAGAGGTCAGCATATCATGGATTTACACAGGACCAATATGGTATTTTCTGCCCTTTTATCATAAATAAATGTACTTTCATCAGGTTCGCCTACCTATTTTGATGCAAGAATCGTCTCATGTCTTCTGTTCTCTGAAAATCTCTGATGGGTACTGGCATTTACTTTATCACAAAATATACCTGTAACATTTTCGTTGTGATATCTAGAGTTGAAGGGGGGTCATAACAGCTACGGTGTGAAAACTGGTCAGACTGCAGACCCCTCGTCTGTGCAACCCCCTTATCTTCCATTTCTCCCTTCAAAGCCTACTTCTTTCTATAATTCTCCAGTGAGGCCAGCCTTATCAATCCAAACCAAGGGTGGGCAATAATTTCTGATCGAGGGCCACTCCAAGATTTGGTAAGTGGTCAAGGACTGCACTTTTCTATTGAGTGCTGGGTCTGAGATACAGGCTGGGTGCAGAAGGGAGCTCGGGTAGGAGACTGGGGTGCAGGAGAGTGTGTGGGGTCTGAGAAGGATGTTTGGGTGAAGAAGAGGGTTGTGACCTGAGGGAAGGGGGGTGCAGAGGGTTTGGGTGGTGACCTGGAGAAGGGAGTTGGGATGCAGGAGGAGGTGGGTTGTCAGAAGCAGGCTCTGGCCAGGAGGCACTTACCATAGGAGGCTCTTAGCCAGCAGCCCAGCAGGACCCTCAGGCAGGCTCCCTGCCTGCCACAGAGCCAGTCCCCTCAAAACAGTTGGCTGCTCCCTCCGTGTGCCTCTCTGCACCACGTGCACGGGAGGGGGTGATGGTAAGGCTTCGTTCACTGCCCCCATCCCAGAACAATCTCTCAGCTCCCATTGGCTGGTTTCTGGTCAAGAGGAGCTGAGAGATTGTGCTGGGGGCAGGAGCAGAGTGTGAAGCCACCCCCTCACCCCGTGTGCAGCACAGAGAGCCACATGGAGCAGCCTGCCACTCTGAGCCCTGGGGCTGCTCTGTGCCTGAGGGTCCCGGTGGGGTAGGCCTCTGGCCAGACTGAAAGACTTGGTGACCCAGATGCGGCCTGCGGGCTGTATCTTGCTTGCCCTTGATCTAAGCTAACAAGAAAAGTGACAAGCATAATGCACTTGCTGTGAAAACAGGAGACTTAGCTCTCTCCCTGCACCAAGCTAGTTATAACTTCGATTGGAAGCTTCCAGGAGCAAAGACTATGTTTTTGTTCTCTCTGTAAAATGCCGCACACCCCTACGACAAATGTCAAACAATAGCCATACAATTCATTTTGAGGCGGACCCAGAACATGTGCATGTTAGACATCAGGCGAACACGAAAATGACTTACTTTGACAAAGTCGAGCACAGCTTCCCTCTGGATCTGTTTCGTTCTCATTCTGTCCTCCTCAAACTGAAGTGCGGCAAGCTGGGCCTCTCTCCGAGTGCGCTCAACTGCATGCTCTCGCCTGCGGTGAAGTTCAACATCTGCATGGGAGAGCTGGAGCAAAATAATTGTCCATAATTATCATATCAAAAGGAATGAATCCGGCTGAAGTACTGAAGATAGCTACAAAGTGACCAGCAGACACACTACAGAGACAACATGCATTTCTATGGATCAACTGAGTTAAAACAAATTAATTTGTCAAAAAAGAAAAATAATCTCCAAAGAATAAAGCAAAGGTGCACAATGAATTACCTGATTGTGGCTGTTGGACAGAAGGTAAGATGAATCTGCAGGAGCTCTGACAAATCAAAAGACAGCCAGACAAAGAATAAGCATACTTCTTTCATCACACTTAATCATTCTTCACACATCAACAGTAAATAATGGAAAGATTTTCCAATCAACATTGGACAAATAACTGTTTTGTAAATGAACACACAAGTTAAATCCAACTGCAGCAATAGGGATCTGATATCACCTAATCATTTATGATATCACAGACAATGGACAATAGTTTGTGTCATGGTTCCAGTGTGAAACTGAGGTGTACTGACAAGAGTGAAATTTGGCTTCTCTCAGAATTATAGTCAGAACTTAATAATAACTGACGGCTTTCAGTGAGTGACTTATTTAACTGTCTCGAAGACCTTTTTAGTTCACCTCCATAGCAAGGAGCAATTGATTACCAGGCCTATTATTGAAGAAATATTTCATTTTGAAACAGAAATCACGTGCTTCTTTTCATTACCTCTCTGGCCTGTCCACATAACTCCTTGGTCCTGGATGTCGCTCTCTGTCCTGCATCAAGCTTAGTGTTTCTGGTCTTCGTAATTCGTCAGTATCCCTGAAAATAAGCACAGATCAGAGGCTGGTTATTATAGTACAGAAATGACAAACAAATGCATCTGTTTTTTCTAATTATCAGCTGTTTATGAAGTAAATGACTAAATAGTTAACTTCCAGCAACATTCAAGACTAAATTTAATGATGACCAAAGCGAGAAAATTCAGATTTAAGGCTAGGCTAAAAATGGTTGTGAAAATAAATATCAAAGCATGCCTAGTAATATCGCTATTAAGAACAACAATTTAAAAAGGTGCTAAAAGTCAGAAATCCTCTTTTAATACTTATTTTCTGTCTTTTGAAGCGCAGTTAATACTCTGGAACGTGCACTAGTTAAAAAAAAATAATGAGGAACTTCATTATTCTCTCTCAAACACTTTTAGAACAAATCTATCAGTTTATGATCAAAAGATCATTTTCTAACAGAGTGTTGCAAACTCCACCTATGTCTTTTTTATCTCAAATGAGCTCCAGAAGCAGACCTCTACAAAGACCTTAGCTAATAATTTGTTTGCATGCAAGTGAGGGTGAACAGAACACAATGTGAAAAGAATCAATTAAATTAAATATTCAGATCTGTAACAAAAGAAGGAATATATAAAACAGATCTGAATATTTATTATGAATTGTTCTCTAGTTAAAACATAAGGCAAATACTTTTAAAACATGCACTTAAAGCAACAGATATGAAAGACATACTTCCAGAGGTACAAACCAAATTGAGTACACAAAATATACATTTGCACTGGCAAAACAGGTAACTGCACTCAAACAAGTATCCGCAAATGTTCCACAAGGATGTACTGTGTGTATATACTACTTAAGATGCCTACTTTTAAAATTAAGCTCTATATGTCAGAAGTCATACCTAATGCACTCATTTCTGTGTTGGCAGGAAGGACAGCACTGGTTCAAGTAAGCACCAAATCCCAAGCTACACATGCAGATACAAGGAGCACATAGCATTGCTGAGTCAGGAACTTTTACAGATTGCACACTTGCGTAAGCTGTATTTAACTCGGCACTCTTAAGATGAAATCAGAATTACGTCTAGCTTTACAAGGACTTTAATGGTTCCAATGTGCTTTGGAGAAGAAAAAAAAAAGTTGCTTGCCAAGACATTTACAGAAAATTGTTGTGGGAACAGTTTTTAGTTTATGTGGTTGGCACAAACAAAATATTCCAGTACTGTAAACTTCATTTTACAAAAAAAACTCCCAAACACTAATTTATTTTGCATGGTGATTTTTCCTTATTGGAAGCAACAACAATATGGTCTGATTTTTTTTTTTTTTTGGTATCTCCATTCCATTCCATTGCAGTACAGAAATCCATTCCATTGAGGCACAGAAAGAAATGTGCTGTAATTTAGTTAGAGGTTGGATTACATGCTGCTGCTTAAAGATCAATTGCTGTCCCTGCGTTAAACTTTGAAACAATCTGACCCGAAAGATATAATTTCCTTTATCATCACTGTAGACAGCCAAGATTTGTATATGTAAACAGAAGGTCTCTCCTGTCTCACTAAACTTGTCTTGCCCTAATTCTTTCAGCTGTGTCATGCAGTCCAATGTTTATGAAGTCTCTTAAGCTATTTCCATGTCAACCACAATTCAAAAGACGGGTATGGAGAGTCTTTCAGACCAAGGTATTCTCATCGTTTGTGGAGGGCATGGCAGGCTTCTCTATTATTTCAACATTTACTTGTGGCTACTACAGGCTAAGGAATGCTGACACATGCTGAAGCAGTTACCATTTATGATGTCAGTACAGCTACTGAACATACAAACCGCATGAATCAAAATTTCTTAGAGAACCCATTAAGAGTAGTTGCTTCTCATGTACATTAACAATTTTGAAAAATATATTTTTGTTCTTAGTTTCAATGTCTCAAAAACTACATGAAAAGATAGGTCCAATATAAGGGGCTTACCTATTCCATTTCAAAAATGTGCTTCTAGTCAGAGCATATAGAGTTAAGTGTCTAAAATCAGTGTGTGTCTTACTCTAGTATTCCTGTATATGGCCAAGACTGTTTTATTTTTTGACTTGCAGGGAAAATATAAACAGCTTTCTTGCTCAGTCCCTGCACATGCAGTTTTAGCCACAAGAAAAAACCATTCATGATCTATCAAACCTGGCAGAGCTTCTTTCATTTCAACTGCACTGAGGCACTCTAATATACTGAATTATCTCTCTCCTCCTTTTGCTTTTGTCTCTGGGCCTCCTTCCATTTGAACTCACTAAACCTAGAAAATTTTTCTCTTGCCTGCCCACCATATTACCAGCTAAATCTCAGTTTCACACGCACTTGTTCCACAACAAGTATAAACCGAACTATTTCAAAAGTGACTATCAAAAAAATTCCATGTAATCCTCAAGGAGGTTGGATCATCCAAACATATGATTTTATTGATATAATCCTTGCTTTCCTCCTTCTAATCTCCCTTTCGCAATGGCATTTGAGGTTTTATCTATACTAGCAAAGTGCACTTGTTTAATTAAAAAGAGAGCTAGCTAAATGAGTGCAAACTAATATAGATTCACTTAAAGCATCTGAATCCTTGCTTATATTGATTTAGCTTAAATTCAGGAATTATATAGATTCAAGTTTGCATTGCTGGTAGAACCTAGGGTTGGTTTCAAAGTATCATGTAAATCATACATTTTTCAGAGCAGGGCACCAGTCATACACATCCATAAAGCACTATGTCTGCCACTGGCACTATCATAAGACTGGCTATATAGGATCAGACCACAGTCCATCTAGCCCAGTATCGTGTTTTCCAACCGTGGCCAATGCCAGGTGGCCCAGAAGGAATTAACAGAATAGGTAAACATCAAGCGATCAATTCCCTGCTGCTCATTCCCAGCTTCTGGCAAACACAGGCTAGAGACAGCATAATAACTCATGGGACTATCCTGCATGAATTTATCTAGGATTTTTTTAACCCTGTTATAGTCTTGACCTTCACAACATCCTCTGGCAAGGAGTTCCACAGACTGACTGTGTGCTGTGTAAACAAATATTTCCTTTTGTTTTAAAACCTGCTGTCTATTAATTTCATTTGGTGACCCCCTATGAGAAAAGAGTAAATAACACTTCCTTATATACTTTCTCCACGTCAATCATGATTTTATAGACCTCAGTATATCCCCCCTTAATCATCTATTTTTAAAGCTGAAAAGTCCCAGTGTTTTATTAATCTCTCCTCATACAGAAGTTGTTCCATACACCTATTCATTTTTGTTGCCCCTTTCTGAACCTTTTCCAATGCCAATAAATCTTTTTTGAGATGTGGTGACCACACCTGCAGGCAGTATTCAAGAGGTCAGCATATCATGGATTTACACAGGACCAATATGGTATTTTCTGCCCTTTTATCATAAATAAATGTACTTTCATCAGGTTCGCCTACCTATTTTGATGCAAGAATCGTCTCATGTCTTCTGTTCTCTGAAAATCTCTGATGGGTACTGGCTTTACAGGTGAGCCCTAAGCAAAACAAAACAGAAGATAACGAAGTTAGTAATGAGTCCAGAATACCGCACATGGAAGTCTAAGAATCTCTTTATTGTACTTAAGTGAAGGTGCTATCAGTTTGTCTAGATACAAATGTGTGATGACTGGTCTTTAAGACGTCTGACAAAGAGCAAGCCTACATTATAGGGACAGGTAGCTCTCACCTATGCAATTTGAGTTGTATAAGTAGTTTAACTCAAATCAGTATAGCTTAGATCTATGGGGTACACACCAAACAAGATCAACAGGAAAAACTCTCCCATCAACTCTCCTTCCTCTTCTCATTCTGGCGGGCTACCAGATAATTTTATCACACCTATACCAGATGCAACAAATTGAACCTGCTGGATTGGTCACTGCCCCATTGATCCAGCCCGTAGTGAAGACATGCCCAAAGAAAGAAAATAAACCAACTAATGGAGAATATTGGAAATAATACAGAATCATTTTTGTACCTTGCATATAATCTATTGAAAGTTTAACTTCAAAATGAAGCATATCTGTTGATAAGCTATAGCATAAAAAAACCAAGCAGAACTACCATGCTATGTAGATGAAGTATAGGTATAAAATAATTACTATAATGTATAAAGAGGGATGTAAAATCCACTTAAATTGTTAATTGATTAAACTATAGTTTAACCAGTTAACTGCCCAGTGCGCTGTGGGTGGGGGGATGCTGAAGCAGGCATGGGGGGGCAGGCTGGCCTGCACACACCGTGGAGGGGTCATTG